AAAAAAAAAAAAAAAAAAAAAAAAAAAAAAAAAAAAAAAAAAAAAAAAAAAAAAAAGTAACCCCACAACTGTTGTTGCAAAATCACCCAGGGCGACGATATTAATCACCATCACGAGAACATCCCAAACACTGATCCCGATCCCAGATCCTCGTCACGATGAAGATCCGGTCGTGCTATCAAAACAAACACTACATTTGTACCGATCAAATGAAAAAAAGGGGGCCAGCAAACTCCACCGATCGACCGATGAATCGAAGGATATACCTGGAAATATCTGACTGAAGCTGAGGACGGGCTCGGTGCTTTTGATCGTGAGGCTAAAGGGCGCGCTCGTCTCGGCCGGGCAGGGTCTCAGCAGCATCCGCAACGGCACCTTCACGCTCTTATCCACCACGCGTATTTGGCCCTTTTCGTTCTCATAGCTCGCGTAGACCGTCACCTCCGGCGCGATCGGGGGCTCATTGCCCTTCAAGTACACCCTCGTCACGAAGGTGTACCTTTCACCTGAAATTTTATTTATTTATTTTTTTTTTCTACTAAACGTATCCACCCCCGTATAGGATATGCATCAGCTCACATAGGTTGGACAGCTCGAGGGTGTCGTCGGTGACGGCGAGGGGACTCTCGGCCACGACGAACAGCTGCAGCTCCCGCACGACAGTGTAAGTCGACAGTTCGAGCTCGATCTTGCACATCGTGGAGCTCCCAGTGTCCCTCGCCTCCTCTCCGGCCTCCACTTGCGACTTGCGAGGCGACGGCAGTAGCTCGGGGGAGACGTGCGCGCTCACAGTCAGCTCGGCGTCCACCGCTGCGTTTGCCACCTGGGGGCCGTCTGAGACCAAGGATTGTCGTTTAAGAGTACTCCTCTTCTTTGGATTTTTTTTTTTTTTATTTATTAAATATTTCGTTCTATAAAGCTTTTAAACTGCAGCTATTGAGCCACGTATACACGTACTGGTGCGATGGAGACGAATCACGCGTGTGACAAGTTGCTTTGGTTGATGAAAAAAAAAAAAAAACGCCCAGGTGCATCCGGCAATTGATTTCACTCGCAAAGAGAGAGAGAGAGGCCGTAGCGTGTATATATTATTATTATTATTATGTGTGCACAGCACAAAACCACGAGGGGGGGAGGAACAAAAAGTATGTGTCCCGATGTAATTAGCGAGCCAATTAATTAGAGCTCGGGAAAGATACACAGGCAATTATGATTTCCGAGACGCGTAGGTATACAACAACAACAATAATAGTATAAAAGTAACGTCGTTTTTCTCGCGCGTCCCTAATGAAGACGCCGTGGCCCTCGTCCCTGGCAGGATGTGAGGCAAAAAGAAAGAGAGGAGGAAGAGAAAAAAAAAAAAAAGGGAGGAATAGTCACCCGTGCCGGACGACTCCTTTCGCAATTTGCGCAGCTCGAGCAGCTCGTTCTCGGCGGCCACGTAATCGAAGCCCCGCCGGTTGACCGGTGGTACAATAAACAGGGACGGCTCCGAGCCCAGGTAGCAGACCTCCAGTCTACCGTCCTCCGACAGGATCACTATGGCACCTTCGAGGCTCTGTGGATTTTCATATGCGTTATTGTGTAAGTCACACCCAAAGGGTTTTGCAGTGAAATACGAGTACATCATCGCGTGTTTTTGTGGAAATCATTCATTACTCGTGCGTGACCTTTTCTTACAGAAAATGTAAGTCAATCGCACTAAAGATGATGAAGATGAGTAATGATTGTGGTGGATATATGTACGGATATTCGCGACGATCGGTACGACCGTACGATGACTCGAGAAATGCTTTTGTGAAAATAGACTCTCGTATATATAGTCACGAGTGCTGTAAAAATCTGTTGTACAATAAGTAACCCCCGACTCCCCGTTGAAATGGCTACGAACACGAGTAAAACTAAAACGTGAAACGACTCGTTTGGGGCAGAGGATTCGGAAAAGTGAAACTCACTCTCTCGAAACGAGTGCCGGCTCCTCCCCTGCACCGGGGAAATCTTCCCGGTTCCTCGAACAGCCGTGAAATCGAGCGACCCCCCCCCCCCCCCCATGGCTCGAGTCCCAAATCTTGTACGAGAAACGCCTCTGCGCACCATATACACCCGCAATAATCGTTTGTGCCGCCGATATAGATGTAACTGTGCGTGCACCGTGTATTTTGTACAATCGAAATCCCCGAAAAAGGTGTATGAACGTGTAAACAAGCAGGTATGGAAGTACTGGCTCACCTGCAGGTTGGCCCTGGCAACGGACACTGGGGCGAAAGGTAGCTGAGCCGACCACTTGAGGGTCGTGCCTTCGTAAATCATCAGCGTACTCGTGTCGGCCACCACCATCGTCATTAGCTTGCCGTCCGGCTCTGAAACAACAACAACAACAACAACAACAACAACAACAACAATGTTAGTGCGTCCACGTGTTGTTTGTTTTTATTGTCCCAACTGCGTGTGTGGCTGATTTACTAGCATACGCCGATTTTTTGCCACTACTCGATCCATGCGAGCTTATACCGCGCAGCTTCCTCCGTTATTTATATAGACTTGTTTCGTGGACACGCGTGTCTCTTTATCTCTCGAAAAATCTGAGAAACGAATCGACCTTATCTCGTGTTTTTCCCCCTTGAACTAACATAACAAGTACCATAATACTTTTCGAGAAATTCGTCCAAAGCACCCGGGGTTTAAATGCTCAAATGTTCAAAGGACTGCGCCGTTAAGATGTTATCGCTCGGTGCGCCAACTAAATGTATATATACACGTAATATACATGTTATAGGTTCTTTATTCATGTGCAGGTGATATAACAAAAAAAAAAAAAACAGTAACAATCATCAATGATTATGTACCTATGACGTAGGCGAGGAAGCATAGCGGAGAGTATTCGAGCCTCTTTGAGGTCTTGATGGAGGTGCAGGAGTCTCCGAGGCAGTAGAGGGTCCGTTCGCCGAGTACGACTATGCCGACCTCGAAGCTGCTCAAAACGACCGCGTTTATGTCGATTATCGGCTCGCCGATGTTGTAGCTCCAGTCCGGCACGAGACCCTTGCGAGCGTCCTGGCCCTCCGAGTCCTCCTTTCTGCCGATCTCCACGATGTTTTGGTACCTACTTGTTCACACAAAAACTGATCGTGAATAAACACTTACATCGCTATCATTACTTGGATGCTAAAAAAAAAAAAAAAAAAAAAAAAAAAAAAAAAAAAAAAAA